CAGGTTCGAATGCCAGACAACACGCAAAGCCACCTTCCCTGAGTACCCAAAAGACAAGAGTTGACGAGACCCATTGCAGTCGAGCAGCTGTACCGCGCTGATCCATGAACACCTCTCCGTCGTGAGTGGTTGTTCAAAGAAGCCAAGCAAGACGCAGCACGAGCCACAAGAGACCGCCACATGGGCGTCCCAAGATGCATGTTCAGTCTTACAATAAAGTCAGCCGAAAGTCCATGTCAACGCTGCGCTCGCCATACTTCTCGAGGACCACTTGCACGGCATCGTCAGAGTGGCCAAGCTGGACAGTCACAACATGTGAAAGGCCGGCCATCTCGATGTGGTTCCGAGCCTCTTGGGATTGTAACATGATCTCATGCACTCATGGTCGTTCTGGAGAGCAGGTTCTCCTACAACTAAACCATGCTGTATAGATTGTTCCTACTGCAAAGCCCACTGCTGCTGAGTTGCAATGGTCGCCTTGGGTGCAGGTGAAGGGGAAAGGTATCTTGTTCCTAGTTCACAGTGTCTGCGAAAGAACATTGGTGGAGACTGGGCGACTGCTATCTCACAGAACGTCACAGAACCACAGCAGACCAAAATACTTTATCTCGGGATGCGTCTTGCGGCTTATCACGTCGGTCCCACGTTGCAAATGGTGGACTTGACAAAAACTCGCATATAATGAAGGAGATGAAACCTCGTTTTGTTTGTTGAAGCCTGGTTCTTTGGATTGAGGCCCATTCAAAGCGACACATTCACGGGATTCTACAGGGTGAGGCAAAGGTCCGAAAGCAGAAACGATAGCATGAGGTACAGGGACCTGGGATCACTTGCTTCATGTTCAAGCTGTGTCTACATACAGGTCTGCTTCGCTCTGGCGTCTGTCTGGTATAACTGCCGAACTTAAATCTCAGTACCCCAGCTCTTCGAAGCTTTGAATTGTTTGGGCATCCGGTCTTCCCGGCTCCGCGGCCAGGCTAAAAGGCGAGACATTGATGGCACGTGCTTAGTATTCAGCCTGCAAGCATTGACGGGATCCATCTCCATTGTCACCACCTTGCCATTCCACGTGTCAACTTGCAGCGCCATGCGCGTGGACCTTGGCCAAGCTGGAGGATCATTCGCAAACCTCAACTACCTGGCCTCCTGACCCAAACTTTGTTGAATCGAGTATCGTGTAGCCCACATACGTACCGAATTCGAGGATCCTGGGCTTGGACTGGAAGACAAGAACCAGCTATCACATAAGATTCGGGTTGCCAAGAGGCAGTTTTGGCCTTTGCTTCGCAATGACATTATCAATCACGCAGGCCTCTCAGGAAGGGCATCTGCATCCATCTGCACTGCAGAGAACACTAACACATACAGGTAAACTGTACGAAGACTAGCTGTTACTAGCTTCTAGATAATTATAGGTGCCTTCTCGCCACCAGCTATCTTGAGCCAAACCTCCTTCAACCCCACGTTCTCGATACAAGCGTGGACCTCCCAGGCGCTTGAAGCCAAGTCGGCGCGCAGAGGCATGCCACTCTCCCATCTTAAGGCCGCTGCACTGTTGACATCGCGAGCAACTGCGTCCCTGACCACCGTCTCCAACACACTCGCTTCCTGCACAAAAAAGAGATCTGAGGAAGGCACCCAGCACCCCCCCTCCCCCACGATCCTTGTAGTGGAAGTCTTCATAGCGTGATTGGCATGTAGGGCGTCGCCGCAACGTGATATCCACAATTGCCGCAGGCTCAATTTCCGCCTGTTCACACAGGCAGCCAGGCCCGAGTTTCCCAAACTCTTGCAGGTACATGCTGTGCAAAGTGCAAAATATTCCAGAAAGAGCTTTTTGCAGCGAGACCTGTGAAGGCAAGTATGTCCCACGCAGCACTCAGGGCTGTACTGTGCTCCTGTACATCTTGCTTGACCTGAGAAGCAAGCGCAGGCATCGCAGACCATCTTCAGGCAGCTGGAGCTGCAGCTCGACAGGCTTCCCCCTCTAAGCGGGTTGCTGGCCCGACAATGGCTGCATCCACCGGCTTACCGCCGGGTCCGAAAACAGCCTCCACACGGACTTGGGAGGCATTTTGGCATGAATCCTCGTCTTGTCTGGCATCGAAACCACCACGCCCCAAAGATGCGAAGGTGATCGAATGACCACTGGGGCTTGTCTCTGCTTTTGGCATGGGCACCCTGAATGTCATGCCTCTCCAAACCGGCCGCATTGCACAGCGACCCTTCTCCACATAAGCTTGCCAATACTCGAGAACTTCATCATCGAAATCCAAGTCCTCCTCCTCATCAGAGGTCATGAGCCCTCAAAGGTCATGCTGAGTCATGCATGACTCTTCTGCGCTCCACCCGTCCTCGGCCAGCCCCTGCAAAGTGGCTTGGCTTTGGCCATTGGCAGTTCCGAAGAAGACGTGCATCTCATGCATAGCCTTCTTGCACTTGTGGCCACAGCAAGAGCAAGTGGCAGCATGCCGACAAGCTTGCAGATCAAGTCAACTCGCGAATTCCAACGGATTAAGGGTTCCAAGCCAAGCAGGAACAAACCGAGCCTCTGGGGGAAGGCCACCTGAGCCGAAGCGCCGGAGGCTCGTTGCTGACTTCCTAATTGTTTGCACGCTCGAGCTACCTCGGCCAAGGCGCCAAGCTTTACTAAAGAGGCCTCCTCTATCTCGGCCATTTCCACTTCTACCTTGTTGCCTGAAAGTTTTGCTCACTGTCAGCCAGTTGCAACCACTTCAGCAAGCTAATCGAGCTGGAGGTCGCCTCCCAGCAAGCCTCGCAAGCGTGGTGCGACCCAAAGCTCGCCTTGAAGAGGGCCTCATTGAGTCTCAACAGTGCGAGAAGTCGAGCGAAATTTCCCAAGCGTGCTTGTGCAGATCGTGCAACTACCTGTTTTGCCGTTTGCCTGGCTGAGCTTGCGTAGGGTTTCTGGCTAAGACACAACTGACATCGTTGTCTTCGTCGGCCGTCATATCCGGCGGGTTGAGTACCACGTAAGCTTCTGCAGATGTCTCCATGCCTGGCACGCCATATTCGACCCTTCAGAGACACGGCTGCTCTGTAGGTGCAGCAGCATGGGGCCCAGACAACGCAAGTGCACGTAGTCACCGGAGTACAGAGACCATTTCAGAGCATCCTCTGGGTGAGCCCGAGCCGCGAAATCCTCCAGCTTCTGAGCCGCAACCAGGTCTACAGGATCCATGGCAGCAAGGGTCTGCCTACCACTACAGGAACAAACACCCGTGTGGTGTGAACACCGGCTGAACTGCATGCATGGCCTTCTCTGGGGGAGCAGTCTGGGAATGGAAGCTGCGGCATTGTCCCAAATCATAGACTTCACAGAATGCCACAGCACAGCTACCTCCAAGTTCTGGTGCCCTATGCGAGCTGCCAGGGAGGCCTCGGGAAGCAGGCAAGAGAACCCAAGATGGTCAAGATGCCTGAAGCTGTGATAAGTCAGCATGTCCTGGCCAATCTCCGGCAAGACACGGTGACTTGATTGAACAGCTTCGTCCTCACCTGACACAAAAGCATGCGACTAAGTTGGATGAATTCGTAGTCTGGGTCTATGTAGGTACTGTCGACAGAAGTAACGAAGGCACCATCTGCTGCAGCATCTCACGCGCTCCATCCGCATCTTCGGCCCGTATGAAAGCCATCAGAGCACCTCAAACAGGCAATGAAACACGATCTCTTGGCAGTGGCCTGAAGCCTGAAGAGACATGCAGTTGCAATGTGCTTACAACAGAGGCGGGACTTTTGTCTGCGCAAGGTCTTGCGAAGTGCATGTCTCCGGCATTCACCCACTCACTGGTGGCCAATCTTGGAGAAGACTACAGCAACAATCGCAACAATGAAGATCCTGGGCTTCACATTTATACCATGTCATGCACAGCCGAATCCACATAATAGGCATTGGGCCGAAAATTGTGACATACGAGCTGCTGGAAGACAAGGTAGGACAAAATCCATGCAGCCAGGTCGGCATGGCCGTCAATCAGCCACTGTTGCACCTCGCACGATAGTGATCGTTTTGGGCAAGCAGATCATTCAGCAAGGGCACCTTCTTCGAAGGCTCCACTTCCCAGTAGAAGAACAGAGGATGTGAGGCCTGCGAGCTGCAAAGCACAACAGCTGGAGAACCTCGCGAGACGTCATTAGCTTCAGCTTCACTGGAGAACCCTTCGTCGGGTACTAATCATGCCAACTTATCGCCTTTTACCAATCTCTCTCACGCTGTTCTTTTTCTCCCTCAAGTCTTTTCCAACGGCGTAGGTGTTCCAAGACAGGAAATCTTCAAAGTTCCCTTTAACTTTAGTACAACCTCGCACCGACACCGCCGCATGCAAACAATGACCTCCGTCCAAAGCTCGGCCTTGATGTCGTATGTCGCCTCGGCCTGCTGAACCGCCAGCCTCAACAAGAGGTGTGTTGGGCGGGGCACCCGCAGTGCTACAACAACTTCTGCTTGGCCAATCTGAATAGAAGAGGCTGGTCGTTTTCGGTTCCTGGCCACTCTTCGTGATACCACCACTACTACTACTACTGCTGCTGCTGCTGCTGCTACTACTACTACTGCTGCTGCTCCTACTACTACTACTACTACTACTACTACTACTACTCTACTACTACTCTACTACTACTACTACTACTACTACTACTACTACTACTACTACTACTTGTGGAGCGCAGCAAACGGACTTGCCAAAGCAATCGCGCTGCTGCAGCTATTTTCGCTCCGCGAGTTCGATGGGTCGCGGACCCGGTCTCTCAAAGTCCCTAGGGTACCGCCGCGCAAGGACTGCCGCAGGCGCGCTACAAAAAGCAACGCAA